TATATATTATTATTATTATTAGTATAGTATATATATATATATATATATATATGTGTGTGTGTGTGTGTGTGTGTGTGTAGTAAGTAATAATATATATATATATATATATATATATATATATATATATATATATATATGTATATATACGCATATCATCCAAGTATTTCGTCATGCATTGCTGACTCTTCATCGTTAACTATCTGCTAGGTGGAGTGGGCCTCATCGTGTCTGGTGGTATTGCACCTAATCGGGCGGGGCGAGTGTCTCCACTTGCCGCCAAAATGACTAACTCTTTGGAAGCCAAAGCACACAAAGAGGTCACTGATGCGGTGCACGCTGAGGGTGGCAAGATATGTATGCAGATTCTCCATAGCGGCCGATACGGATATGTACGTTTTTAATGTGTTTATTTAAGGATATGTACTTTTTTTATGTGTTTATTTACGGATGTGTCCGTTTTTTATGTGTTTAGATACAGATATGTACGGTTCTTTTTGTGTGTTTATTTACTGATATGTGCGTTTTTATTTTTTTATTTGCGGATATGTACATATGTGTATATTTACGGATATGTATGTCTTTTATGTTTGTTGGCAGATATGTACGTTCTATGTGTTTATTTACGGATGTATACGTGTTATGTGTTTGTTTGTCATGTCAGAGGGGTGTTTAGTGCGCGGGTGAAGCAAATCGTGTAGGCAGACGCTTACCCGATCGATTAGGATATGTGATTGAGATATGTTTATGTGTGTGTTGTCGTTAGTGTGCGTAGAAGGGGATGCAGGGTGTGTGAATGAGTGTGCGTCTCGTCTCTATGTTGTTGAGAGGTGTGCGAGTATATGTTCGTGTGTATATATGTGAGTGTGAGAGGTGTTGTTGATTCTGTAGGTGACGGAGTTAGTTCATATCTGCAACACTGCATATGTATCTGGTTTGGTTAGCATTAGAATGCATTCGTGTATGTGTATGCGTCTGTGTGCCTGACTGTTCATTTGTGTTGTTGTTCCCCTGGTCGCGTCACGCCAGGATGTCCATAGTATCGTAATGTGTACGTCAGGACTATTAACGTACAATAAAGCGGTTCATCATCACCAAAGTGTCGTTCTTATCTTTATACGTATGATGTGGCATTGCGTACACACATCCTTATCGCACACATGTGCTCATGGTTATATATTCACACACACACATACAGCACCCATTCAATGTGGCGCCATCCGCCATCAAAGCGCCCATCGGCTGGTTTACTCCCAAGGCCTTATCTCATCAAGGTATGTTCTGTAGAATTTCTATATAAATATATATATATATATATATATATATTGTATATACATTAAAAGACTTGCTGTTATTATCCCTATGGCTATCTTCGTTAATGTTTGTTGTTTCTATGAGAAAGAATTCTTGTGAGGTATTTGATGTTGATCTGAAATTCTTTTCTGATCAAATATAGTGAAACTGTCATTCCTATACCCATTAGCAGATCAGGGGCTGCTCTATTTCTTAATGTTCGTTCTTAGCCAATATAAATATCTATCTA